TCCCTCTGTCTTTTCTATGATTCAAGGGCTCCTCTGCCCGCTGAAATAACCTCCTCTATTTAGTAAGGTGCCAAATCCATCTAACAAAACTTTTTGTTTCACGAACGTTCATAAAATGTAAAAAGCATGCAAGTTCTGATGGAGGCAGCACACCGAAGCTCACTCTGCTGGAAGTACAACCAGAACCCCTTCCTGGGTCCTTGCCAGGTTGTGTTGGAATTGCCTGTAGGCAGTACAACTATGTCTATTCCTGGCATGCAAGCTTCTCCACGTAGCCTGGGCAATGTAGCAAAACCAAGAGACCACACCAAGAGACCTACAAATTAAAAAAAAAAAAGTATCCAGGCATGATGCTGTGTGCCTGTAGTCTCGGCTACTTGGGAGGCTGAAGCAGGAGGATCCCTTGAGCCTAGGAGTGCAAGGTTTCAGTGAGCTATGATGGCACCACTGTGCTCCAGCCAAGGTGACAAGCAAGACGCTGTCTGTAAAATACATACATACCTACGTACCTATATAAATATCTTGATCCTCTTTGCTTAATGCTGGAATTTACCATGTGAACAAACAGTGTGTTCTGATTCCTAATACTTTAAATGTACACCCGCAGTCAGCCATTATGGTATTACCATCATCAGCACATCCTTTATTGTTTTTATTTCTTGTGACGCCTACTCTTTAGCTACTCCCATTCTCTATTCCTAATTTAGCAAGAGCAAAGTCTATAAGAGCTTCCACCAAAAATCCAAAAGACTAGTTTTACACCCTACTCTCATTTCTACATGGCCCCATTCCCCCCAGCATCCAAGATCCCATCCACATCTCATCTCTGAGATGCCTCGTCCATTCTCCTGCTGGCAGAAAGCCACTAAGTACTGGGTTGGGCAGATGGACACGTGTTCTGCCGAGCACCATTCTCTCTCCTGCCTGTGTAAGTGATACCAGGATCTTGTGACCACAGGCAGCTCATGCTCCAGAGGCCATCTGAGGCCTCTCTTTTCTGAGAAAGTCCATGGAAGCTGAGGACAGAGTATGACTTTCCGTGGAAAACCTCTTGTCAAGAATTCCAACTACAAGTCCCTCTATAGAACAGGATAACTGGAGAGTAGCCAAGGAGAAATATATCTCCCATTTAGAAATATCAAAAACTCTGATTGGTAAAATTAAGTGTAACAAAGATGATAATACTTCCTGAATTAATATGTTAATTAAGTTGATATTTAATTTAATTTAAATGTCTATTTAAAATCTTTCTGGTGATATTTAAATAACTGAAAACTTGATAGTAAAAATGAATCCAGACATATAATTAGATAAAATTTTATTTTTTAAGTGGCTGTAGAATCATATAACAGCTTATTTTTCTAAATGAAGATGAAATAAATATGTCATAGTGTGGATATTTCATAAATTAAAGCTATTATGAAAACTTAATATATGACAAAGTAGACTTAGTAATACAAGACAAATGGAGAGAAGAAAATATCTGCTTAAGAATTTGTATTGGGATACCCAAGCATGATATGGAGAAAAGTGAAATTAGATCCATACCTCCTTACAGTATAAAACGTAGTGTGAGACATTTTAAAAGTAGCTACCCAAAGTACAAGAAAATAAACTGATATATGTACTAGGGTAAATAGACTGCTATATCTACAAAAGAGATACATTTACATCAGAACATGAAGTGTATCCTAATACTACAGATCTGTTCATAACACTAATAGAACGATATAATAAATATCAAAAGGAAAACAACAAAATGAAAAATATTCAACATATTTATTGCCCCAAATATAGAAAGAATTGTTGTTAATATAGATAAAGACTCCGCCTTCACTCCAGCAGTAGTCAGGGAAGATTGAAAGTTTATACAAAAGGGAAATTTTGTCAAACTGTCAAATTAAATTGAATCTTATGGAATATAAACAGGTTCACAGTAATTAAAGAAATACAAATTAAAACTCATAAATAACCCACAAATAACTAGCAGATGCTTTTTTTAAAGCCAGTGTGGAGAGTGTGGGAGAACCAAAGCCCAGCAATGTAACTGGTGGGTTGGCATTTCTGAAGAGCAATTTCTCAATATGTACCAAAAGCTGCAAAACTATAAAAATCTTAAATCTGTCCATCCCATTTGGGAAATATACGAGAAGAAAAAATCTTAGAGGAGAAAATGAAGTTTTCAGTGTAGCAGTATTAGTTTTCATTTTCTTTCTTTTCTTCTCTCTCTTT